ACTTTTTAATCTAAATTTTTAGAACTATAAAAACATTTGCTGCAGCAGAGAAAAGGTTTCTTTCCGGTTTACCTTAGCCTAATAGCAGTTGGTGCTGCGACAATTCTGTCTGCAATATCCTCAGGCGCCGAGTTCAAGTGTTTTAGTCTAGTCTAGTTTCCTAGAGCTAAGGAATTAATTTGGGCGAGAGACCCCACCTTTTACCGATAGCTCCCCTACAGAAGTACAAGGCAACCGACACCTTTCCTACCCTTTCCGCAATGTTAGGATTCTACGACAGCCGCCGTTGATTGCCCACCTAGTTACCTGGTTCAGGTAACCTTGAGTCAGATCAAAAAGGTGTACAGAAATCGTCTCTTAACCTAAAGTTCCCCATCCTTTACACACAGCCCACTTTTCCCAGTTCCTCTAGAAGGTGGGTTACAACCGCAATCTAGAGCAGGGGAGATGGAACACCACCTTGTGGAGTGCTCGTATTGACTCTGCACTGAGTGCAGACGCCCCCACTCCGCCGCGACAGTTCTGTCACGAAGTGAGCGGTAGATAAGCCTTATTAAGTAGGTTTAAACGCGAAATTGTTAATGGTTTGAACGAATTTATCGCCCAGGCCATGCGACGATGATCCAGAAGATCGGAGAAGTACAAAATATCGCAAAGAAGTACATTTGACTGTACTTCGAAGTACGAAGTACAAGAGCGAAAAAAAGAAGTACTGTACTTCCGAAAGAAGTACGGTTGGTCACATTAGGCATACCAGAAAAATTCCATAAGTGAATTCGACGGGAGTCAAAGCTGCGATTAGCTTGATCAGGAATAAGCATTATTTTTCTCTTGAAAATTTCATTAAATTAATAAATAGGTGTGTAATTCATCAACTTTTTTTTATTCCTTACAGTGATAAATGAAACACCTTTTGGTATGGAAGCTGTATTACTTAACTCCTCGGCAGTTTTCTTGAAATGGTGGGCGCCACCAATGAAACCACAACATGGTAAGTCATACCACTGCAGGAACTTTGGTTATTACTTCATCTGTGAGCTATTGAATTTGTACAACAGAAATCACAAATTTAAAAGAAAAATTTGCGGTCCACTTCAGTTTTGTTGGGGACAGTTATTGATAAAAACTGTCATCGAAAAATTCGCTATGAAGGAAATGTTTTACAACTAAGTGATACATACCAATCGATTTCTTTTTTCACCGAGAATCAAATTTGAAAATGAATTTTCATTTGAAGTTTTAATGCAAAATTAAAAATATAACAATTATTTTTGATTTTTATTTTATAAATCCAAAATAACAAATATTTTCCATTTTTATCTAAATAATCTGCAAATAATAGTTATTTTTGATTTTTATATTATATGTCTTAGATAACAGTTATCGAAGACGTCTATTTATAAAAGTCATCATTTAAAATCAGCCAGTGACTTTTACTTTTAAAAGTTATCAATATAAATCAGTCACCGACTTTTATTTTTTAAGTCATACGTATAAAAGTCTTGTATCATTTTTCTCAGTTAAGAAGGTGTTGGAGAACAAAACTACGAAATAACTTTTATTAGTATGATTTAAAAAATAAAAGTTAGTGACTGATTTATATTGATGGCTTTTAAAAGTAAAAGTAACTGACTGATTTTTATTTATGACATTTATAAATAAATGTCTTCGATAACTGTTATCTAAGAGATATAATTTAAAAATCAAAACTGAATGTTATTTGCATATTATTTAGATAAAAATCAAAAATAATTGTTATGTTGGATTTATAAAAAAAAAATCGTAAATAACTGTTATTTAATGAGAAATTAAATAAAAGTAAAAAAAATAACTGTTAAAGAGCGATTTTTTTAATAAAAGTTTTAACTGATACGGTCCCTGTTTTTTGTACATTTCTCTTAAAATTTTATTTTACTCTATTTCACAGGCATTTTACTTTACTATCACGTGATTGTGCGTGGCATTGATACCGCACACAATTTCTCACGTATACTCACGAATGTGACCATAGACTCTGCCTCGCCGACACTGGTGTTGGCCAACTTAACCGAGGGTGTTATGTATACAGTGGGCGTAGCCGCTGGTAATAACGCCGGAATTGGACCTTACTGCTCACCGGCTACATTACGATTAGATCCAATAACTAAACGTTTGGATCCGTTCATTAATCAGCGGTAAGTTTCGAAGATTTTAAATTTCCTATTACAAAAAAAAAACTGTACATTTATTATTTCTTTGCAAACATATTTTATGGTGCTCTTTTTTCACCAAAACTAATTAAATTTAACTATTTTCTAACCTTTACTCCCCTTCAACAGCTATCCCATCAATCAGGATCATGTCGATGATGTGCTTACACAGCCTTGGTTCATCATACTACTCGGGGTATTCTTGGCCATGATGATGCTCTCACTCGGCGCTATGGTGTTCATCAAACGCAAGCATATGATGATGAAACTGTCCGCGTTGAGTACAATTAGTGGTGAGTTGAAAATTTATAACACTACATCATAGTTGAGAAAAAAGTTAAAAAAAAGTTCAAGCAAATTGACATCTGTCAGTGGGCGAGAAAAAAATAATGCGAAAGAAAGTTGCTGCACGCACTTGCCTTGTTAATAAATTACAATGCAAAAAATATCAGAGAACGTTTAAAACAGAGAAGCTGCAACACGCTACTCGTTGGTATTTTGTAATAGATCAGAAATCGTCTAGAAGTTCACCACGTTAAATTTTTAACATCGATAGCTCTAGAAGCTCACCATTTTTTAACAGCGTGAGCGCAGAGCGGCACAAAATAACAGAATTTGAATAAATTAGCAATTGTGAAATGTTATTTTTGTGCACGTTTATATCTATCAACAAAAATTACTTTTGATAGTTATTTTAATGCTCCTTTCATTGAATTAAATCGAAAACATTAATTAGTTATTACAAACAATTTCTGGGTAAATTTTGGGAAAACGTTATTTTCATAAAAATTCCAATTGACTAATATAAATTTGCGAAAATTTTGTAAACCATATTTTCGTCAACAATTAGTAAATTCTTCATTGAAAAAATTTTAA